GGCACCACCGAATTTCTCCTTGCCGCGATGCATACACGACTGGTCATCTTCGCTGGATCCGGCGAGGTTCTATCGGCAAAGAGCTTTCCGATGTGTTCCAGCTGCCGTGCGTGCACATCGTCTTTCCAACCCAAGTGTGCCCCGAGCCCGCGTGAAACCTGTGTCCAGCCCGAGGAGGGGGCCCAAGCACCTATGTCTAGCTCGAAGTGGAGGCCTAGCACCAGCGGCCCGCGTCATTTGAACCTCAGTGGCACAGCGTGCAGCCCAGTAGAGTAGGCCCAATCAGCGGCCCAATTTCCATCAGCTCCAGGCGCGGGCTGCGTCCAGCCCGCGCGGCATGCTCTTCTCACACTTCCTGGCCCGCGTTGAGCCCGGTTCTCAGCCCGCGTTCATCCCTGTCCCCAGCTTAACTGTGGCCTTGAAGCAGCCCGTGAGCAGCCCAATGCATCCACCCTCTGGCCAAGCTGGCCAAGATCATCCATATGCGGCCGAAATTGCTCCCAGCCGGCCCATTAGCGTCCTAAATGCGGCCCAACAGCCTAGAAATGGCCCAGAATGGCACCAACTTGGTCTAACAGCCCCGGTTCGAGCCCAAGGCGAATTCGGGATGATTCGACACGGCCGATAAAGTAATTTGAGATAGAACTCTCGTGATGAAGGTACGACATTAATTTAAATTTGGAGACCGGAGGATTTTTAAATTGGTGAATTATTTGGTTTATCTGTGGAGTATTATTTGACTTATACATGGAGTTATTTGATTTATTTGAGGAGTATTATTTGACTTATATATGGAGCATATTTGATATATTCGAGGAATTATTGATTCAATCTTGGAGATATTTGATTTATTGAGGAGTATTATTGGATTTTGAGGAGTATTATTTGACTTGTTTGTGGAATCACTTGGTTTGTTCGAGGAGAATTATTTGATTTACTCGTGGGACTATTTGATTTTTTCGAGGAGATATTATGTGATATATTTGTAGAGTATTATTTGATTTTTTCGTGGAGAATATTCGATTTATTCGAGGAGATTATTTGAGTTATCCGTGGAGATATTATTTGATTTGTTCGAGGAGATATTATTTGGTTTATTCGTAGAGATATTTGACTTGTTCGGGGAATTATTTGGTGTATTTGCGGAGAAGTTATATGTGTTATTTGTTACACTTGGAGAGGCAAGCAATATTTTGCATAGCACTAAGTAAATGTGGTTGTTTGAAATAAATGCGGGTCGTGATTTTGAGTAAGGATATTTCGGGATAATGCTTGACGTGTATTTGGTGCATTTATCAATTTTTATCGGTGGGCTAGAGAAAATGGATTAGCATTATGTGATTTGATATCTTGATATACTCGGAACCTCTCATTTGTATTTTCATGCGAAAGTGTGGAATTTTGTTTGAGTTGACTATTCATAATTTTTTAAGCATGTCATTGCTTGAGCATGTCTTAAATCGAGGAGATGGCGGTATTTGTATCTGATCTCTTGTTTCTCTTGCATGGAGCATTGCAAAATGAATGACGTGAATATAATGTGGATAATAATATCTCTTTGAATTCTTGTCGAGGAAACAACGAAATAACATGAGTCTGGACAAGCTATGGCGGACGGGTTGGGGACGAGTCTGGATGGTGCCGAACGCCGGTGGCAATTTCAAAAGCAGAAATCATTCTCTTTTGGAGAGGTAGGATAGTGGTATTATCGACATTCAGGTATAAAATTAATCCCAACTCTTGTGAGCGGTAAAGTTCGACCGACGTAATTTATTGAAATATTGAGTCTCTTAGCATGCTTTTTTGGAGAAATGTTCATTGTTTTGGATATTTAGGCCGAAATGTTGCTGGGGTTGTGGTGTATATGGATATATTTGAAATTATTATTCAGGTGACTAACAAAATGTAGAAAATGAGGTGTTCGCGGAGGCTTGAACAAAAATCTGGCATGACTAAGGCCTTCGGGCTGGCCAGTCTCGAGTCGTCATCACTAAGGAGCTCGGTATTGGGAATAACACATTTGAATTTTTGTTTGGTGCATTCGTTTAATGATTGTTTGTAGCTGCAGAGTATGGTTTGTTGTAATTGTTTGTTGAATTCATGGTTTTGTGAAATTCTGGTCGACTGTACATTTGAGTGGGTGTTTATGCGATTTTATATCGTGGTAGAGACTTGCATGTAGATTGAAGTGTGGTATAAACGAATGTGGACCAATGTGATTGCTTTGATTTATTCGTCTTTTTGTTAATATCGCTATCGAATTGCAAATTGGATGATGTGGATAAAATACGACTATGGAATTTGTTGAATTCTTGCTGAGGAACATGAATGAGCAGGTGGACTGGATATTGATTATGGTGAGGAGTGAAAAGCATGGAGCAAACAACTACTCAGGTCGTCGTGTACAGACAGGAAAGGTAGGTTGAAAATTATGCTCGATTTTTTTTATCTTGTTCGATATAACTATGCATTTGATGGGACTAACGAAAATGATCAATTAATATTCTGTCTCATGGTGTTTGGTGTGTTTTCTTTTCGACTTCAGTGGCAGGTCGAAGTGTTCGAGCTGTTCAGGAGTTGAAAAACCCACCCTGAGTGGTCGTCTGTTTGAACGGTCCCATTAGTGGGCCAGGCAGATGATAATTGGTGGCCTCGAGGTCGAAAAACCCACCCTGAGTGGTCGTCTGTTCGAACGGTCCCATTAGCGGGTCGGACAGACGTTAATTGGTGGCCCCAAGGACGAAAAACCCACCCTGAGTGGTCGTCTATTCGAACGGTCCCATTAGAGTGTCGGACAGACGTTAATTGGTGGCCCCGAGGCCGAAAATCCACCCTGAGTGGTCGTCTGTTTGAACGGTCCCATTAGCGGGCTGGGCAGACGTTAATTGGTGGCCCCGAGGCCGAAAAATCCACCCCAAGTGGTCGTCTGTTCGAGCGGCCCCATTAGCGGGTCGGGCAGAAGTTAATTGGTTGCGCCGAGGCCAAAAATATCCACCATGACTAAGGCCTCCGGGCTGGGTGGTCACATGTATCGACCATTCCCTCGAGGGTGGGCATGTGTTCGAAGACAAGCATATGATTGGATCGTCAAGATAATACAGTAATCATTGATGTTCCCTAATTCCAAAGCACATCACCTTGCTTGAAGCTGCTCAACATTAAATACATACTTATCCATCTCAAGCAAGAAGACAAAAACCACCGTACTATAAATAGCAGAATTTATGATAGTACGAGGATCTTTTTTCGACACATTGTACATGGACTTGAGATGATCTCGGTCAAGAATAAAAAAAAACCGACTCCTGTACTCTTGTGAATATATCAAATAAAATCAAATTTTACTTTAATCTTTGTTTAAACACACTCAGGTGTTTGTAATTTTAAGTTGTTAATTTCATACAACAACAGGGTCGTTGAAGATATGGAGCCTATCGGTGACCTCAGAGGCAGGACAATTGCTTTACTTGATTTGGTATATGGTTTTGATTTTGTCAAAATTGTTTTTCGGCCTCAGTGGCAGGTCGAGATTCGATGGAGTTCATTTGGCGCAACTTATGGAGATTATTTGAGTACCTCGTTAGTAGGTCGATTATTCTTGCTTGGTTTGGATTTGTCAAATCTGTTTTTGACCTCAATAGCGGGCCGAGATGGAGTTCATTTGAAGCAATTCGTGGAGATTATTCGATTCTTGAGAGGATAAACAACAGGATTGAATTTCAAATTTTGAACTGAGGGGCGAGGATAGGACGAAGTGGTAGAAAAGGTTTATCTTTGAGCGAAAAGAGCTCGAACATAGTGATCGAAAAACAGCAGACGTGAGTTCAAATTTTCAAATTCAAGACTTCGGTAAGAGATCGAGAAAATCTATCAAAGTATCATGGAAGTCCAAGTAAGCAGGTCGAGAGAGATCCAAGAAAGATCGACATTGCAAAATGAAGAGAGAATGAATCTACTCTAGGAATCAAGGTTCGACCCCAGTGGCGGGTCACTCGCTTTGCAACCTCATTGGTCATTTGGCTTTCGGAGTTCAACCTTAGAGGCAGGTCATTCGATGTTCGACCTTAGAGGCAGGTCTTTCGGTGTTCTACCCTAATGGTGGGTCACTCGATTTTTGATCTCATTGGTCATCTGGGTTTTGGTGTTCGACCCCAGTTGCGGGTCACTCGGTTTTCGACCTCAGTGGTTGTTCAGCTTTTGGTGTTCGTCCCCAGTGGCGGGTCACTCGGTTTTTCGACCTCAGTGGTCGTTCAGCTTTTAGTGTTCGACCCTAGTGGCGGGTCACTCGATTTTCGACCTCATTGGTCGTTCGGCTTTTGGTGTTCGACCGCAGAGGCAGGTCTTTCGGTGATCATTTGGGGTCCCGAGGCTGATTTGGAGGTTTGGTGACTATTTGATGGTCGAGGATTTATTCAAAGTTATAACCTTAGTGGCAGGTTGATGGAAACAGCCCGAAGAGTAATTTCACTCTTGGATCGAGTCATGCTTACTCGACCAGAGTGGGGGGGACTAGATGATATAGGATATTATACTAGACATGTTTTAATAGATAAAAAGGGAATATATTGAAGAATAAGCCTGCAAATGGCTAGGACACGTGGCATGATGCTATGGGACAAGCCCAACTTGTGCCATAAGGTACACTCCCCTTATAAAAAGGGCTTAAGGTATCTCATTCTCTCATTCTCTCTACATTCATAATTATACTCTTGGGATTTAGAGCAATACTGACTTGAGCGTCGGAGGCCCTACGCCGGGACCCCTTCCGGCATTGGGTTCTTGCAGGTCCGGTGGCCGTTTGAGTTGAAGGAGCCCGAGTGAAATCTATTTCACTTCATGCGCCAATAAGCACAAATCTCTGTATAAGCGGGGACGGTAGGCTTGGGAAGGAGTAAAATTATGCACTAAGATTGGACGGGATGAGGTTTATAGACACTGGTAACGGCCTAGAGGTGAGCCGTCAACAATCACTCACATGTTGTTAGTTAGAATCTGTTCAATCAATTTTGGATTGGGTGTAGTGTCGTTGCTTTCTGTCTGAATGTTGGTTGCTCTTTTTCAGTTGTTGCTGTAAAAAAACAAAAAATCAATCTTATGATTACTTTGCGCTTTTTGTTTGTTAGTCTCTAATCGTTTGGTTGTTTTCCAGCCAGTAGAAGGTTTGAATGAAGGAGACTGCGCCCCTGGATTGCAGGCTGTTGCCGCCTCTAAAAAATGGCCGCGGGAGGCTGCCTTGGCTAGGTGGCGGTTTAAAAAAGCAAGGGCTCGATCACTGTTTGGTTTGGGGCGTAGTGCATTGACAAGTACCTATCTGGTTTATCAAGAGAATGCGCGTGACGCGCCGTTTGATGGTGGCATTGGTGAATTGCAGTCGGGCCTTGTGGATGGCTCTGCTAACGTGCTAGACCCAGGCTGTCGCGTTTTGCCGTCATCTATTTTGAAGAGAAGATCAGGTTTTGTGTTTCTTAATTTTTAACTTTGTTTTGCAGTCGTGCGTTTGGCATACCTTTATACTTTGTTTGCTGCTTTGTCTTGCCTGAATGTGCATCTGTTGTTCTTCTGCAGATGGCTTGGCTTGTATAATTTTAGAGTCTTGTGCTCCAGTGACACAACTAGGTATTAGCCTGACTTA